ACAAGACCAAGCTTTAGAGGCTTCTTACCTGAAGCTTTCTTAACTACTTCGATTGAGGTATAGTGGCAGAGCGCTGCAGCAGCTAGTGTTCTGTACTGGAAGTCCAAAGAATTCACATCCAGAATACACAGGTCTAAGAGCTGAGGAAATAAAGAGTGGAGGAAGTAAGAGTTACAAATTTTAACAAGATGATACTTAAGTATAATCCTGTCACAGAAACTGCTATGCACACAGCAGCCCTCCTACAGTCCATGCTCTGTAACATGGCTCTGCTTTTTAGCAGCAATTCACACAGCTATTTTATTTTTGGCACCAACTGCCGTTAAATTGGGTCTCACAGAGTTACAATGCAAACCAATTTGCACTTTTACCAGTAACATGCAAAACACTTTACTTGCACAAATTTAAGTACACCTTTAAACTCTTAGCAGAGCTCCAGGAAGGTATTTGCTTAAATTAAAATACTACCTAGCAGCTCAGCGACTTAGATATGTCTGCTCTTCAATAAGCCTTTCTGAGGTTGGACGCAACACATGCCCACAAAAAAACTGAACCACAGTAGTTTCAAGATAGTCAAAACACTTCCCAGACTGCCTTCTAGGCAAATACACAGGAACACTGTTATAGGTAATACAGCTACAGCCAGTTAACTGGCTTAAATTATCTAACCTCCTCTCAGAACTGTTACCACTGCCTGCTATTTGCAAAGCGCTGCAGTGATTAAAAAAAAAAAAAAAAAAAAAAAAAAAAGGATTTGTATTGTTCCAGTGTACAGAAATGACTTAAAATCTGTGAGAGCAGGCAGACAAGAAACACATGGGTGCTCCTCCTCAAAACTGAGGATGAATTTCTCTGGCAGTCAAACTTGCACAGTCCTTAACAAAGTAACAGATGAGGTGAAACAAGGAAAAGCATTCTTCAGTGGCTTTTGGGGCATGATGTTCAGTTGAGTTTTAATCACTCCAAAAAGCAGTTTCCGATACAGTTTACTACCTACCTGTGCTATCTGAATGAATTTTTCCTGAGAATACTGAGGTAGCAGCACTTTAGGAACATCCTTCAGAGCATCCACCTGAAGATAGAGGTTCAGCCAAGAGACGATTGTTACCGGACAGAGTTCCCATTTTAAAGCCTGCAAATATTAAACAAACAGTTGAGCACCTTAAACCACCCAAGGACAGTTTTATGCTCTGATCTCTTTCCCCACACCTGCCCTGCTCAGTTTGCTCAGCTTATTGCACAGATCCTCAAAAGACACTAAAGAATTATGTACAATTTCAAGTACAAATATTCATTTTAGATTGCATTCTCACTACCTTTTGAACAGGCTGCATTACAATCAGCACAGAAATGTATCTACCCTGACCCCTTTTCCTGTGCCTGTGCAGCTGGACCTTACATATCTTCCCCATTCAGAACCTGGGAAATCAAGAGTATTTCCCCCGAGCTCTGCACCTGCAGTTAGTGTCTACTAATGAAGTATAAATGTAAAAGGAGTTCTGTGATGGTAAAGATGGATCCTTTCTAACATAAGAAGCACTGAGTAGTGTCAGTTCTTTACCTGGACCCTGGCCCCAGACAGCAAAAGGACCCTGGCAAGTGCAGTACGTTACAGCGACAGCCACCTGGTTTGCCTGTACCTGGTAAGAGCCTTTACTTCCATAAAAGCATGAGAAACCTGTCCTTTTCTAACAGACAGGGATTTCACCCCAGCCTGGGGCTTTAGAGGTCTGCTGCACATACAATGAGGCTTTCATTGTTGTGCAGAAAGATGGACATACTAAACATGTTCCTTTTCTAAGCATACAAATGATATTAAAATACAAGGCTCAGCTGGACAGTCTTTCACCTGGAACTTACAAACACAGAAAAGTTATTACCTTTAACATAATAAGTTCCATTCGGACAATGTCATCTTCACTGCAAGCACCATCAGTGACGTAAGCAAATTCCTGTATTTTAGGAGCGTAGATTTCCTTTAAAGGGAAGGAGGGGAGGGAAAAAGTGAAGATTAGAGTGCCTTACAATTCTAACAAAGCTTGAGAAGATACTGGCAAATACTTTTTACTCCATATTGGAATATTAACATTTCTTACACTAGAACAGTGTTTTCCTCATTATATGAAGTGACTTGAACCTTACAGGATGGATACCAAAACCAAGTAGGTTATATGTTATCTGTTGTAGAACATGATAGATTTATCATAACTTCTTTAGCTTTTGAGGAAATAAATGCTGACCAAGCAACCAGATCAGCCTTTCATTTATACCACTTTCTACTCAGCCATTCCATTTGATGTAAAAACACACACCATCCTAATTCTTGTACAGCACACTGCGGTATTAGAAAAGGCTTGCTGATACAGGTTATGCACAGTGTCAGTTAGTGCTGATGTAGTCTCGTTGATTAAAAAAAAAAAAAAAAAGCTAAAAAAAGATGAGAGAAAATCCCACCACCAATG